ACCATTGACATTGCCAATGCCTTTTTCTCCATTCCTTTGGCAGCTGAGTGCAGGCCACAATTTGCTTTCACTTGGAGAGGTGTGCAGTACACCTGGAATCGACTGCCTCAGGGGTGGAAACACAGTCCCAGCATTTGCCATGGGCTGATCCAGACTGCACTGGAAAAGGGCGAGGCTCCAGAGCACCTACAGTACATTGACGACATCATTGTATGGGGGAACACGGCAGGCGAAGTCTTCGAGAAAGGAGAGAAGATAATCCAGATTCTCCTAAGAGCCGGTTTTGCCATTAAACGGAGTAAGGTCAAGGGACCTGCGCAGGAAATTCAGTTCCTAGGAGTGAAGTGGCAAGATGGACGCCGCCTAATTCCCATGGAGGTGATTAACAAAATAGCAGCCATGTCCCCACCAACCAGCAAGAAGGAAACACAGGCTTTCCTAGGCGCTGTGGGCTTTTGGAGGATGCATATCCCCGAGTATAGTCAGATTGTAAGCCCTCTCTACCTTGTGACACGGAAGAAAAATGATTTCCAGTGGGGCCCCGAACAACAACAAGCCTTTGAACAAATTAAACAGGAGATTGCCCATGCGGTAGCCCTTGGGCCAGTAAGGACAGGACAGGATGTGAAGAACGTGCTCTACACCGCAGCCGGGGAGAATGGCCCTTCTTGGAGCCTCTGGCAGAAAGTGCCTGGGGAGACCCGAGGACGACCGCTGGGATTCTGGAGTCGGGGATACAAAGGATCTGAAGCCAGCTATACACCAACTGAGAAAGAGATCCTGGCTGCCTATGAAGGAGTTCGAGCTGCCTCAGAAGTAAGCGGCACCGAAGCGCAGCTCCTCCTGGCACCCCGACTACCAGTGCTGGGCTGGATGTTCAAGGGAAGAGTTCCTTCCACACATCACGCCACCGATGCCACGTGGAGTAAGTGGATCGCTCTGATCACGCAGCTAACCCGGATAGGGAACCCTAATCGCCCTGGGATTCTGGAAATTATCACCAATTGGCCCGAAGGTGAGAGTTTCGGACTATCCTCTGAAGAAGAGGAGGAGAAGGTGACACGGGCTGAGGAGGCCCCACCATATGACAAGCTACCAGCAGACGAAAGGCGATATGTGCTCTTCACGGATGGCTCCTGCCGCATTGTAGGGACAAACCGAAAATGGAAGGCAGCTGTATGGAGTCCCACACGGCGAGTTGCAGAAGCGACCGAAGGACAAGGTGGGTCAAGTCAGTTTGCAGAGCTTAAAGCCGTTCAGTTGGCTTTGGATATAGCTGAACGAGAGAAGTGGCCAAGACTCTATCTCTACACTGACTCATGGATGGTGGCCAATGCTCTGTGGGGATGGCTGGAGCGATGGAAAAAGGCCAACTGGCAGCGCCAAGGGAAACCCATCTGGGCGGCGGAGATGTGGCAGGACAGCGCTGGCCGGGTAGAGAAGCTGAGTGTGAAGGTCCGTCACGTAGACGCTCATGTAGGCAAGAAACGGGCTAATGAGGAGCATCGTAACAACGAGCAGGCGGACTGAGCTGCCAGGATTAAAGTCTCTCAGGTAGATCTGGATTGGCAGCACAAAGGAGAATTATTTCTGGCTCGATGGGCCCATGACGCCTCTGGTCACCAGGGGAGAGATGCAACCTACAGATGGGCTCGTGACCGAGGGGTGGACTTAACCAAGGACATTGTCTCACAGGTCATCCATGACTGCGAGACGTGTGCTGCCATCAAGCAGGCCAAGCGGGTGAAGCCTCTATGGTATGGTGGACGGTGGTCAAAGTACAGGTATGGGGAAGCCTGGCAAGTTGACTACATCACGCTCCCCAAAACCCGCCAAGGCAAGCACTACGTACTGACCATGGTAGAAGGAAGTACTGGATGGTTGGAGACATACCCCGTGCCTCATGCCACTGCCCGGAATACCATCCTGGGCCTTGAAAAACAAGTCCGGTGGCGACACGGCACCCCGGAGAGAATTGAGTCTGATAATGGGA